CACTTTGGCATAAGGATTACTTTGAGCTAAAGGCACTTGAAAAATAGCAGATGCAAGAAGGCCATTTGAATTCCCTCTTTTCTTCCTGAAAACAGGAGATAAAAACTCTCATGTGAAAAATAGCTTTACTGTACCAAGAGGAAAGAAACATTACTCAATGCGGAGTCAAAGCCAAGTGAATTCTGTACAAACAACTTTGTTAAAATAATTATCTCCCTTTATCCTCCCCACATAATTTACTTTTCCCACAGTTACCTCTCTTTGTTCAACCAAATGTAAAAGCATTTAGGTTTTGCCACTTCTTTGGGTCTTCATTTCCCTAACGAGCGCTCCACCCCCCACCCTCGAAGGGTCCCAGCTGGACCTGAGACTTAAATGGACGTAAAATAGATTAACAGGAGAAAAGCATTCAAATTTCATTTAAGTTTTACAGGACATGTCCCTTCAAGGGTGGAGGGAAGGTTTTGTCTCCCCTGCAGTATATACAACTTTGTGTAGTCCTCAACTATTTTCCTTAACAGAAATCCCTGGAAAGAAGGAGACTGTTATCCAACTACCCTGCCAGGCCCTGTGCTAGGTACTGGGTAAATCTATCTCTCTTAATCTTGATGCCAGGATTAGGCCTCATTTTGCTGACTTGGAGACTGAAGCGTGGAGGTGTGTCAGTAGCTCTGCCAGTATCATACAGGTTTCTAATGTTAGTTCATCTGATCCAAAAGCCCTTACTTTTTCAAGGGCTTTTTTGTTTGCTGTGAATCAGTATACAGTTAAAAGCTCAGTCTCTGGAGGCAGATTGGCTGTGTTCAGATCCCAGACCTACCACTTACTTGCTGTAGACCCTCAAAACTTAACAATTTTCTCCTGTGCCCGTTTGTGAGAAGAGAAACATAATAAATGCACATGCCTCATAGGTTTGTTGTGGGGATTAAATGAAGTCATACCTGTAAACGACCTGGAATAAGGTCTGACCCACCGTTCACTTTGTCTAGTAGTCCCCCCTTATCTGTGGAGGATGTGTTGCAAGACCCTCAGTGGATGCCTGAAATCGTGGACACACAATTAGGTACATTGTGTACCCTAAGTACACAATGTTTTCCCCTATACATAGATACATACTGTATTAGGCAGGGTTCTCTAGAGGGACAGAATTAATAGGATAGATATATATATAAAGGGGAGTTTATTAAGGAGTATTGACTCACATGATCACAGGGTGAAGCCCCAACAATAGGCTGTCTGCAAGCTGAGGAGCAAGGAAGCCAGTCCGAGTCCCAAAACCTCAAAAATAGGGAGTCCAACAGTGCAGCCTTCAGTCTGTGGCTGAAGACCCTTGAGCCCCTGGCAAACCACTAGTGTAAGTCCAAGAATCCAAAAGCCAAAGAACTTGGAGTCTGATGTTCAAGGGCAGGAGGCATCCAGCATGGGAGAAAGATGAAGACCAGAAGACTCAGCAGGTCAAGTCCTTCCACGTTCTTCTGCCTGCTTTATTCTAGCCGCGCTGGCAGCTGATTAGATGTTGCCCACCCAGATTGAGGGTGGGTCTGCCTCTCCCAGTCCACTGACTCAAATGTTAATCTCCTTTGACAACACCCTCACAGACACACCCAGGAATAATACTTTGCTTCCTTCAATCCAATCAAGTTGACACTCAACATTAATCGTTACATGAACCTATGATAAAATTTAATTTAGGCCAGGAGCGGTGGCTCACGCCTGTAATCCTAGCACTTTGGGAGGCTGAGGGATGGATCACTTGAGGTCAGGAGTTCGAGACCAGCCTGGCTAAAATGGTGAAACCCCATCTCTATTAAAAATACAAAAAAATTAGCTAGGCATGGTGGTACACACCTGTAATCCTAGCTACTCAGGAGGCTGAGATGGGAGGATCTCTTGAACGTGGGAAGCGGAGGTTGCACTGAGCCAAGATCGTGACACTGCACTCCAGTGCAGTGGCATAAGAGTGCGACTCCATCTCAAAAAAAAAAAAAAAAAAGGTTTCATTTATAAATTAGTCACAGTAGAGATTAACAATAATTAATGAGAAACAAAAATGAAACCTTAAGCCCTCCAGCTGACTGAACAGACCCCTTCTTGACCAAGGGGACCCCAGAATAACCTTGGAAACCCTCTCCCGCTCTAAATGCCATTCGGCTTTCTTCCCTAAGCGCTAAACAGAAATCAGCCCTTCAAGACTCCACCGCTGGTATCAACCAGCCACCTGATGCTGCCCCTCCCTTTTGGAGTTTTGGCACAACTGCCCAGCAGTTCTTCCTGGTAAAAGACTACCAACCATGGAGTAGTTAGGGCCAGTCTATGGAAGACATGCAGTCAGGGTTTTCATGTCCTCTGCTTCACCTTCTGATATCAGAGGGTCCGAAAACTCCTACCCTGGATCATGCTAACACTGCCAGTTTTGGAATATGGGTCCCATGGAGAGGCATGAAGTGCAGTTGCGCATGTGCACGTTTCTCCTTGCGTAAATATTCATGACTCCTCCTATAGCTTATTAAATATGTATACTTGGCCACCCCACTCTGTATAGATTCGTGCTCCCTTTGCCCCTCCGTTGAAGTGTCTGTTTCTGGCTTCTAGCATGAGGTTTTGCTTCCCAGGCTGTTGGAATGGCCACCCTGCAGACTGCAACCCTCTATGAGAAATAAAGCTCTTTCCAAATTTATGAACCTCATCATCCTTCAGTTGACACTAACAATAAAGTAGAAAAAATATAATATAGTGTAATAAGTTATATTGTGATTTCTCTCTGAAAATATCTTAATATTTTCAGACTGTTGACTGCAGGTAACTGAAACCATAGAAAGTGAAACTGCAGACATGGAGATGGAGCAGCAACTACTATATAATCATTGACTGTTGTCGTTTATATTATTGTTACTAATGTTAGTATTGTTTTCACCAGTTTCTCCCCAAACATCCATAGCTTCCAGTATTAATCCAAGGTGGAATGTGGGTCTTCTTCTCCATGCAGAAGAATGTGGGACTTCTCCATGCAGGGCCTAAACTTCATTCTAATACTAACGCTAATACTAATACTAATACTAATTCTAATACTAATTCTAATACTCTTATTTTATGTGTGCATTTTCTCACCTGCATTCCTCTGGACAGAGCGTAGACAGATGTTTTCCGACTTACAAACTGGCATCTCTTCTCCTCTATTTTGAGTAATGACAGTCTGCTGTCTAGGTAAGAGTGCTGCTAGAGGACACTGCTGATTTTCACAGTCATGGGGGTAGCCTGATTGGTGGACTGCTTGGTGACGTAAGTGAATACCTTAGCAAGAAACAGCATTGAAAAACCAGCCCAATTGTTGACAATAGCTTTTATTTAATTTTTCCACTTTCCCCTTATATCTTGGTCACCGAACTTTTTTGACTCAAGGTAGACCATCCGCATCCTGTGGTAGGGACCTTTTGCAGAATTCTAGATGGCAGGAAGCTTTTATGAACCTAAGTCCAAATTTTAATTTGCAAGGAAACTGAAGCAGATGAATTTTCTCATTGTAAAAAAATGAATACCTTGATAATATATTTGTTTTTCGTAGTAGGCCTTTGTCATTAAGCTTGATGCCTGAGGATATAGTTGTATCTTGTGTGGAACAGTAAGTTATTACTCACTGCGTATCAGATTTTAGCATACTTGCATTAGTTCATGGAATATGATTTTACATTTACTATAGCAGTTCCAGTGCCATTATCAGATTGCATTTTCCTACTGAATTACAAACAAATGTGTTATGCTACTAACATTTAACAAAATTTTAATAAGGTTGTGTTTGATGCTATTATTCAGATAATGTGTTCTAAATTGCTTTCCTTTGAATATATTTGCATTAAAGAGGAACTCGATTTGGTTCTTTGAAGAGTTTATCCACTTTCTGGGGAGCTTTAAAAAGACACAGGGAAATTCAGTTTCTTCTTTGCAAGTCAATAAATAGAGAAGAAACAAATTTGCTAAGATCTATAGAAGTAATGGCAGCAGATTGCTGATGGTTTGAGTTAATGAAATGACTCATTTTGGCTACTTGAGTTGCACAATTAAAATATACATAGACTGCACACATCATAGATGAGGGATAAATACCCTTGTGTTCTCTTTTCTTTCTCAAAGCTAATATATTATGAATTAAGAAATTTAAGAGATCCACATTATTGCAATTCTTGATCAGTGATGCCCAAAATTAAGTGGTAATCTCTTGAGAGTGCACGTTTGCAGCATTCCTCTTACGCATTTCTGCTAAAATTGTGGCTGTGAGCCGAAGACAGTTGTTTTCCAAAGGATAAACTCATTTGACCAAGCTAAAACATTTACTTAATATTGACAAGTTTTGTGGGGTTTTCTCATAGTTGTCTAGCTAAAGGAGTTTAATGCAGAGAATACACATACGGAAATAGTGAAACCGAAGTCCTGCTTGCGCGGAAAGCCTGCAGCAGACTTTTGTTTTTAACAAACTCCACGGGGCATTAGAGAAAGTAACTGGGGGCAGTGGGTTGGAGGGTATAAAATTGAGCGGAGGGACGAAAACGAAGAGCCCTCTGGGTTTTTTATATCCTTCTGCATGTTGTGTAGAAATAAATGCTTTTACTTCCACGGTCGTACCTTCCTCTTCACCTTTTTTTTTTTCTTTCTCACACATTCATCCTGTGAGATCTTTTCATTTACAAATGCTCCCGATTTAGAATTAGAAACTCATAATACCGTCTGTAAAACTTGCCTGAGCCTGTCTGGTCCTGAATTTAGCGACACACTTGTTTAGGAGTTTCGGTTCTCGTTCTCTGCTTGCATGGTTTAGTAAGAACAACACTTCGATATACTGAAATTCACCGACCAGACCTGCAGGGCTGCACAGAAATATCTGATGCTTTTGGTACCCCCAGCCCCGCAGCCGCGCAGGCGCACCGCCCAGCCGCCGTGACGCAAGGCGCAGGCTTCATGACGCGGCACGCAGTCTCAGCCGACACTGCGCGCCCCTTCTGGGGCCCCGCCCAGGCAGCGGCCTTAGCGGGTCGCCGACCCACGATCCCAGCCGTGGCTGCTTGCTTGCCGGAGTGTGCACCGGTACGCGTCGCCGGTGACATGTTGCAAAAACCGAGGAACCGGGGTCGCTCTGGCGGCCAGGCCGAGAGGGACAGCGACTGGAGCCGTGGCGGAAACTCCGGGGCCTCGCGGGCGGGCGAACACGCCCGGGCCCGCAGAGACGGCTTCGCAGAGGAGGCCCCGAGCACTTCCCGGGGGCCGGGCGGCTCGCAGGGGTCGCAGGGCGCCCGCCGGTCCCAGGCCTCCCCCGCCGTGGGCCCCAGGACCCAGAAGCAGCAGGAGCTGAAAGTGTCCGAGCTGGTGCAGTTCTTACTGATTAAGGACCAGAAGAAGATTCCGATCAAGCGGGCCGACATACTGAAGCACGTCATCGGGGACTACAAGGACATCTTCCCCGACCTCCTCAAACGGGCCGCCGAGCGCCTCCAGTACGTCTTCGGTTATAAGCTGGTGGAACTTGAACCCAAGAGCAACACTTATATCCTCATCAACACCCTGGAGCCGGTGGAGGAGGATGCCGAGGTGAGGGGTGACCAAGGCACGCCCACTACGGGCCTCCTGATGATCGTCCTGGGGCTCATCTTTATGAAGGGCAACACCGTCAAGGAGACTGAAGTCTGGGACTTTCTGCGGCGCTTAGGGGTCTACCCCACCAAGAAGCATTTCATTTTCGGAGATCCAAAGAAACTCATTACCGAGGACTTTGTGCGACAACGTTACCTGGAATACCGGCGGATACCCCACACCGACCCCGTGGACTACGAGTTCCAGTGGGGCCCGCGAACCAACCTGGAAACCAGCAAGATGAAAGTTCTTAAGTTTGTGGCCAAAGTCCATAATCAAGACCCCAAGGACTGGCCAGCGCAGTACTGTGAGGCGTTGGCAGATGAGGAGAACAGGGCCAGACCTCAGCCCAGTGGCTCAGCCCCATCCTCTTGAAATCTGAGGTGGATTCAGAGGGACCCCCGGGACAAGGGTCTGAGACCCAAAGGCACAGTGCAGAGGAGCGGGGGAAGGGAGAACGAACCCAGGAAGCGTATTTCTGTAGCGTTTCAATGTGTGTAGCTTTAGGATGTGTTTGCAAAGTTTTGTTCTTTTAATGTTGTGTTATTTGGTTCCAGATTTTCATCTATAAACAAAGGAGCATTTGTTTTGCTTTGATTTTACTTTTTTTGGTATAAAAAATTTTCCTAGCTTAGTAAAACGAATTGGAAAACTTGACTATGATCTGAAACAGATATGCCAGAAGGAAGACATAAGTAAGTTGCTTTGGTGCCAAGAAAATAAAAAAGTAGCTATTATCGGGTCTCTTAAGCATCCCAGTTTGTAAGGAAAAATAAAAGTCTTTATAAAATTAAAAATAAAAACGTAATTGCCTATATCCTTATTACCTTAACCTATTTTATTTTTTCTATATTTCCTACATATGTAAGTATTATTCATGGTTCCAAGCAATGAACGTGGTGTATTTTCTCCAAATAGCAATTGTTTATATTCATAATTACTCAGCTGTGTTGCTAAACATGCAGTTCCACTTAGTTTTTTTTTACATGCTACTCTAGTTATTACAATAAATACTGTATTTTTGAAGCACTGAAGCATTGTGTGTTTTTTAAATCGTGGGCCATGAGACAATTTCATGACGAAATCAGCGTCTTAAAGTTTTTGCTACATATTGAGGTCATTGTTGTTTTGTAGAAGTTGTTTTACTTTTGTGTGTGTGTGTACAGGATCATGAGGTAAAATATATTTCTACTGTGGATACCAAAAAGGCTTATAAAACAATAGCGTAACCATTAACCATGCCTGCTTGGGAATCAGACTGCCTGGGTTCAGATCCTGGCCCCACGATCACTAGTATAGGAATTTACGTAGGTTCCTTAGTTTGTATGCAGATGTTTCTTGACCTGTAAAATGGGTTTAGTCCCTGATGTGGAGGAATTTGCTTGTTATTCTTTAATGTTTTTATTTTTTATTCTCGGTCTGGAGCTGCCACTTTTTAAATACAACTTTTCTTTATCTTGTTTTCCAAATGATTCCTAGGAGAGCAATTACTGGTTCAAAAGGTATATTCCACTAGTCTGACTCTATTGTATGGGGAAATAAGTATAAAGTGTATGGTGAGTATAGCCCACATAGAACAGTAAGAGCAGGACATAAGATCAACCTCGTAGGGAGTTAGGTATAGGGAAAAGGGTGTGGGTCTTGGGGCTGTCTGGCAAACTGAATTTGAATTACGGCTCATGCTAACTTGTCAGCATGGTGATATGGTGGTAGGTTTTAAGCTGTCTGAATCTCAGTTTCTTTATCTGTAAAATGAAAAAAATTATAGCTATATAATAGTTTGTTTTATGGACTAGATGAACTAGAAGAGTTCATAGTCCCATTGTATTCCTCCATTACATGTAGCAGATGCTGTTTTTAATGCAGAGATTCAACACGTTTTATTCAGTGGGTAAATAAGTATAATTGTTTTAGGGGGAGGTGCTGCAAATTAACCTTGAAATAAGGCAGATATTTTTCACTCGGGGGGAAAAAGTGAACTTCATCAACACTGGACTGAATGTCATTTAAAAGAGTCTATAGTGAGTATGGAGGAATGTGATAGGTTGCTGGGTTTTATTTCATTCTGTTGAATTGGGATTTGCCTTTGTTTCATCAGTGGAAGATGTTTGGTCCTTATAGGCATTTCTTCTTGATCTGCATTTTATTTCAGTGTATAAATTGCTTCCTGCCTCCTGGTCCTGTGACCTCCCTGACTCAGCTTTCTCCTCCTCGTGCCCTCTGATACTCACATTCTCACCTGTATAATAAAAATTGTTACCCTGCAGTCACCACCGGTTATATCTGAGGCAAAATTCCCTCCGCTTTTCTCAGAGGTGTTAACAATTTACCATCGATAATCTTGTTTCAAATTTTAAAATATGAAACATAAGAGGCCACATCAAGGCCTTATATCTTTTCCTTCTCACCCTCCCCAGAGATAACAAAAGTCTGCGGCTATCGGGCTGTTGTATGACTGTATAATTTTACTACACATGTATAGATACATAACCAATATAGAGTTTTATTTTGTGGGCTTTCATGATTTATATAAACGGTATTACGTGTGTCCTTATGCAACTTGCTGTTCTCACTCACCATTATGTATTTGAGATTCAGCCATGTGGATATATATAGACCTGATTCACTCATTTTAATTGTTCTTTTATGGGGGAAAAATAACTTTATCCATTCCTTAATGGCTAGACAGTTAAGGTCTTTCCAGTTCTTTGAGATTTGCAGGCATTGTACAGTACTTCTTTAGGCACATGTGTGAGTTTCTCCAGCCAGAAACAAATGGAGCAATCAGGGACTATTGCCAAACTGTTCTTGAGCTTGTGTCAAGTTACACTCCTACCAACATTTTACACAGTTTTGTTTTGTTTTTGTTGCCAATCCCTCAACCTTCACCCACTGTGAACACTTGGCCTTTTCAGTATCTTTTCAGCCATTTTGATGTAGTGTGAAATAATCATTTATTACGGTATTAACTTGTACCTGTTGCTTACTAGTGATGTTAAGTATCTGCCTATCTTTTACTCTCACTCTTTTTGACTGTCAGGTTTCATGTCTTAGACACATTTCTGTTGATTTGTAAGACATCTTTATATGTTCTACATGTTAATCCATGGTCTGCTCTATCTATCTAGTGCAAATACCTTCTCCCACATTTTCACTTCTTTTGGTCATACAGATCATTTGACCTTAATGTGTAACAATCATCAGTGTTTATAAGAGCTACATTTGTGTATAGTGCTTTAAAAAATTCCCCTAATCCTAAAATTGTAAAGATGTTTTCTGCATTTTTCCCCTAAGTTCAAAGTTTTGATTTGCACATTTTATGCTTTTAATCTGCTTTTGTGTATGATGTGAGGCATGGAAATAGTTTTTGTGTTTTTTCCTATATGGATAGCCTAGCACCAATTTTTCATCATTTATTCTTTTCACACTGATTTATGACACTCAGTATTCTATAGCAATGTCCCATCTATAGATAAGTTTATGGATAGGACTGAATTGGTTTCTTTGCTATCCATCTGCAAATACCATACTATAATTCTTAATTCTTTTTTTTTTTTTTTTGAGACAGAGTCTCACTCTTGTCGCCCATGCTGGGGTGCAGTGACTCTATCTTGGCTCACTGCAACCTCTGCCTCCTGGATTCAAGCGATTCTCCTGCCTCAGCCTCCTGAGTACTGGGATTACAGGCACCTGCCACCACACCTGGCTAATTTTTGTACTTTTGGTAGAGACAGGGTTTTGCCACGTTGGCCAGGGTGGTCTGGAACCTGACCTTAGGTGATCCGCCCGCCTCGGCCTCCTCAAGTGCTGGGATTACAGGCATGAGCCACCATGCCCAGCCTATAATTCTTTAGCATCGTATGTGTCTTCTTTTTCGATTCTTAAAGCCTTTTAGTCTTTTTTGCATTGGCTGAAAGTGCAATATCTTATTGAAAAGAAGCAGTTACAGCAGGCTGTAAAGATGTTTCTGATTCCTTATTCTTGATTTTAAAGGAAATAATGTTTAACTTTTGCCATAGAGTGTGATGTTTGCTGTTAGAGTTTTTTTCCCCTATAAATACCTTTTACTGAGCTATTTATTTACCCCTTCAGTCCTAGCTTGCTTAGAGATGTTTAGAAAAACTACGAATGACTTTAGATTTATATATGCTCTTTATTCACCTGCTAATATGATTAAAATTTCTTATTTACTCTGTAAATTTGTTTTTTGGGCATATAATTTGGTATAATAACACATAGAGTTTTCTGATATCTAAACATTCTTGCATTTTGGAGCCAAACACTTGTTGATAAAATTTTTAAATACATATAGCTCAAAATATATAATTTTGCATCTTTTGACATAAGGGGGTTTAGTCTTTAATTTTCATATATTATCATTATTTTTGAGGTTATGCTAATTTACTTAGAGATAACCTTAAATTTACAGAAAAGTTGCAAGCCCAATGCAAAATAATTTGTTCCCTGAACTATTTAGTTATGATTCTTTAGTCTCCTTCCTATCCAATATTTCCTCAGTCTTTCCTTGACCATCATGACCTTCACTTGAAGAATACAGGCCTGTTTTCTGTAGAACATCCTTCAGCTGGGGTTTGTCTGCTGTTTCTTCATGATCGGATTTGAATTATGCATCTTTGGGAAGAATATCACAGAAGCAATGCTGTGTTATTTTTGGATCCTATCAGGTGGCACAAAATTTCAATTTGTCCTGTTATTTTGAAACTTTGATCACTTTGGTTAAGGTGTCATGTGCCTCCACTGCGAAGTTTTCTCCTTTAAGGTAAATAACTTGGGGGGAGATACTTTGAGACTTTGTGTAGACCCATGGGTCTCTTATCATTAACTTATTATCTAATCTTTTATTATCATTACATATTCCGATACTCAAATTGTCCCTGATTTGGCCAGTGGGAGCCCCTTAAAGCTGGCTTTTGCATCTTTAACATGCCCCCAACATCATTTATTGAGCATTTCCTTACTTAATAGCACCAAAAGAGAGGGAGTTCTGTCTTTTTTTTTTAGACGGAGTTCCGCTCGGATTGGTGCGACCTCGGCTCACTGCAATCTCCACCTCCTGGGTTCAAGCGATTCTCCTGCCTCAGCCTCCAGAGTAGCTGGGACTACAGGTGCCCACCACCACACCCAGCTAATTTTTTGTGTTTTTAGTAGAGATGGGGATTTCACCGTGTTAGCCAGGATGGTCTCCATCTCCTGACCTCGTGATCCGCCCGCTTCGGCCTCCCAAAGTGCTGGGATTATAGGTATGAGCCACCGCGCTTGGCCAGGAGTTCAGTCTTAACTCTCCCTGCCCTAGACCTGGAATTAATCCTTTCCCTAAAGAGCTCTGGTTTCTTTTTGTGGAGAATGGAGTTGAGAAACAAAGTTGCATTTTTAGTAGAGACAGGGTTTCACCACCTGACCATGATGGTCTCTATCTCTTGACCTCGTGATCCTCCCGCCTCGGCCTCCCAAAGTGCTGGGATTCCAGGTGTGAGGTGGCGTGTGCCTGTAGTCCCAGCTACTTGGGAGGCCGAGGCAGGAAAATCCCTTGAACCTAGGAGGTGGAGGTTGCAGTGAGCCGAGATTGTGCCACTGCCCTCCAGCCTGGTGACAGAGCGAGACTCAAAAAAAAAAGAAACAAGGTTGCTAGGTTCGCTCATGCCTACTGGGAATATCATTGCTCCCAGCCCTCTAGGTGACGAAATTATAGGATATCTATCTATCAGTCATCTACACAGCACTGAACACTATGAGATTACATTATACTGCCATTTGCAATACAGCACCACCGTGTGTATTCTGGTTTGAGAAACTCAGCACCTATTATCTTTGCCATATTTCCTTATTTGATTAATTCACCTTGTAAATAACCAATCCACTATCCTCGCTGCCACTCCATCCCACATGGGTGCGCTTAGCTTCCCACCTGGGCTGCGATGTCCCACATTGCTGGCTTGTCTGTGCAGTCACCCTTCTCCCCTTGCTAGAGCTTTCACCCCACTCAGGTGACCTTGGCCTCTCCCAGGACATGGAACTTGTTCTGTCCCACTTAACGGCTATTGCACTGAATTGTTCAAGAAATAGAAAACCTGTGGTCTTATAAATGCGTTGGGGAACTTGCCTTTTGCCCTATTATCGGAAGATTAGATGTTTTCGAAAGTTTGAAACAAATCTACCCGTGAAAGGCTGTGGGCCTGCTGTTTTTTTGTGGGTAGAGTTTTACTGATATTTTTCTCAAGATTATGTTCAGGTTTTTTGTTCTTTTGAAATTGGTTTTGGTCACTTATATTTTCTAGAAGATGTTTTCATATATTTTCTGATATAATTAGCAGAAAGCATTTCTTAGTATTGTCCTTTGTGCAGTGAGCTGAGATCGCACCATTGCACTCCAGCCTGGGTGACAATGCGAGACTCCATCTCTAAATAAATAAATAAATAATAAAAAATGGTGATTCATCTGTGCCATGAAGTATTAGGCAATTGTAGAAGGGAATAGGGTTATTTGTATGTTCTTATAGCGAGATCTTCACTATATTAAGTGCAAAAAAAGTAAGTGAAGAAAATGCATGTATTATGCTGCTGTTATATACTTTTATTAAAAAAAGATGGAAGGATAAAATATAAAATTAAAAAATAAATGCTTATCTATTAAAAAATAGAAGGGAGGAAATAGAGTGGAGGAACAGAATAAAGGCTAGACTTATGTGAAACTTCACTTATAGACCTGACTTTAGAATCATTTTATATAATTATAAATGAAACTCAGTTTTAGAAACAATTCCTAAACAAGAAAAAATGAAATAAAAGGAACTAACCTGGGTTCCTGATCAGTAGCATAACCACACATAAAGGAACCATGTGAGTTTAAAACACCATAATTTGACTATTTCTGGTAGAATGTACTGTAAGAATAAAAAGAAATATAAATCTTAAACTATTTTCAGTCATTTTTTTTGGCAGTTGTATTGGCGTTGTTATTTTGAGACTTGCGTGGATATTGTGAAATTAAATCCAACAGATTAATTATATTAAGAATAGTTTTTGGCATGGTTGAAAGGAGATATAGATGTAAAATTAATATGGTTACGTAAAACCTTCTAGCTTTGTTTGCAGTTTTTTTGTTATGTATGACTATATTTATTTTAAATTTTAGATTCAGGAGGTACATGTGCAGGTTTGTTACATGAGTATGTTGCGTGATGCTAAAGTTTAGGCTTCTAATAATCCCATCACCCAGTTAGTGAGCACAGTAGGTGGTGTTTCAGCTCTTCCCCTCAACCCCCGGTTGGAGTCCTTAGTGCCTGTTGTCCCCATCTTTGTGTCTGTGTGTCCCCAAAGTTTAGCTCCCACCCTGTAAGTGAGAATATACAGTATTTGGTTAGACTCTCTCTGTCTAATGACGCAGATGATTAAAACGTATCAAATGTGTTTAAGTTCTTGGCTCACAATGGCTCAAACTCACTCCCCTCTCCAGTAAACAGACAAAACAGTATTTCATGATACTGTTAATTTTGGAGGATGCTAGGGAACCAGCGTTTTTTTTTTTTTTTTTTTTTTTTTTGAGATGGAGTCTCACTCTGCTGCCCAGGCTGAAGATCTCAGCTCGCAGCAACCTCTGCCTCCCGGGTTCAAGCAATTCTCCTGCCTTAGCTTCCTGAGTAGATGGGATTACAGGCACGCAGCACCATGTCCAGCTAATTTATGTATTTTTAGTAGAGACGGACTTTCACCATGTTGGTCAGGCTGGTCTCAAACTCCTGACCTCATGATCCACCCACCTTGACCTCCTAAAGTGCTGGGATTACAGGCATAATCCACTGTGCCCAGCCAGGAATCAGCTTTTTAAAAAAATAGACATGTGTCAAAGACTATGTCTAACTCATTATTTAATGAGGAAATCAGTAAGAAGTTACAAGCAGTTGAAAGGCTAATTCAAACACTGCACACATATAAGCAATCAGGAATGCTGAAATAAATTTACAAATAAATATAAAAGTGGTCAATATCAGTGGGGCAATAATCAGTTACATGCTACCAGACAAAATTCCTTTACATTTGTATCGTCAAGGATCATTTGCACTACTATCAGTTTTATACGACTATCAGTTGATGAACTATCAGTTGTATGCAGAGTTTTGAAATAGCAAAAAGACATTGTAAGGCAGAAATAACCCTGAAGGGTGCATTAGACAGGATATCCAGTGACTTTTTTTTTGCTCTTTAACAAGTTTTAATGCCACTCTCCCTGCCTCTTGATCATATTAATCTTAAAGGTTACTCTCCATCACAAAAAGGGTCTTTCTTCATCAGATTTGGCCTAATTATTTACATAGATGCAGAAAGAGTGCTAATTAACCATATAGACTTCGTTGAGTTTATTTTGCAGTTTAAAATTATTTTAAAACCTGGAAAATGAACAGAAAGAGTCGAGTATGTATCCTGCTTTTCCTATATGAACTATACCTCAGGGTAACAAAACAGTTGATGAATAAAAGTCTCTGTCTCTATATGTATTCTTATTCATAAAGAAAAGATGACAGAGTGAGACTAGCACTATTTTGGAAACCCTAATAAATTAATTAGTCTAAGTCATCATTAAAAATGGCCGCTAACATCACATAAAGAGAGAAAATATTGGCCAGGCGCGGTGGCTCATGCCTGTAATCCCAGCACTTTGAGAGGCCGAGGAGGGCAGATCACGAGGTCAAGATATCGAGACTGTCCTGGTCAACATGGTGAAACCCTGTCTTTACTAAAAATACAAAAATTACCAGGGTGTGGTTGTGCACCCCTGTAGTACCAGCTACTCAGGAGGCTGAGGCAAGAGAATCGCTCGAACCCGGGAGGCAGAGGTTGCAGTGAGCCGAGATTGTGCCACTGCACTCCAGTGACAGAGTGAGACTCCATCGAAAAAAAAAAAAGAAAAAGGAAAAAAAAAAAGAGAGAGAGACAATATTTGCCTTTTATTGATCTGAATTTGGCCAAACCTCCGTATTTAATCACCAAATTACAAGAAATACAGAGGCTAGAGAAACGTTAAATGATAGAGGTCTACAATCAGAAAGTTTAGGCTGTAAGAAACTCTATAGGACAAATGAACTGGTTTCTTCAGTAAATTTCACAGAGGGAAAAGTGAATGGGAAACCCACAGACTGTCAAAGATTCCTAACAGCCAGTTGTACCACATGGACCTGCTTTCTATCCTGTGTAGCCTGATTCAAAGTGTGAAAAAACTTAGACAATTAGGGAAATGTGAACGCAATATCTGATGATATTAAGGAATTTTTTTTTTTTTTTTTTTTTGAGACGGAGTCTCGCTGTGTTGCCCAGGCTGGAGTGCAGTGGCGCCATCTCAGCTCACTGCAAGCTCTGCCTTCCGGGTTCACGCCATTCTCCTGCCTCAGCCTCCTGAGTAGCTGGGACTACAGGCGCCCGCCACCACGCCGGCTTTTTTGTATTTTTAGTAGAGACAGGGTTTCACCCTGTTAGCCAGGATGGTCTCGATCTCCTGACCTTGTGATCCGCCCACCTCGGCCTCCCAGAGTGCTGGGATTACAGGCGTGAGCCACCGTGCCCGGCAGGAATTTTTATTTATTACAGATATGATGATTATTTTGGCTATGTTTTCAGAAAGCTTCTCAATTCCTTTAGAAATATTAAGGGTAAAATTTTATCATGCCTGGTATTGGTTGCGAAATAATCCAGATGGTAGGGGCCATAAATGACGCGCGGTTGGCTGTAAGTGGATTAATTATTGATGTTGGGTGGTGGCCACATGTGACTTCATTATACTGTTTTCTTTGGTTTTGCATGTGTATGAAATTTTCTGTAATAAAAATTAAAACAAACCTAAAGGCCTTCTAATAAGTATACTTCTTTCACTTGATTTTCTTTAATAATGTATAACTTGTTACTCTTAAGAGTATATAATGTACAGTCTTTCAAGTTTAACTCCTTAAATATTTTATCATAATAGGTTTTAAACAAAACCATGGTAGCTTGCTATGGCTTCCTACAGATCTTACTTTTTCTATTTCGGGTCATATTAATTTGGAAGTTTGAGAAATAACCTACCACTTTCCTTTAAAACACATGCATGTTATTCATGTAATTATGTGATCAACTGTTGTATAATAAATGAAAGCTGTCGTAAAGCCATGTCATTTTTCCTTTGAGCCTCTCCAAGTGAATAATCAGTTTCTTGTTTGGTTTGTTTCCAGATAACCTTTTTCATGCTGCTTTCTGCAGTGTGTGTAATGCTGAATTTGGCTGGTTCAATTCTCTCTTGTCAGAATGCTCAGCTAGTCAACTCCCTAGAAGGCTGCCAGTTGGTAAGTAATGAAATGCAAACCCTTTCATAAAGGTCATAGGATTTGATTTTGCATGAGAGCAATTTTAAAAATAATTTTATTGTATTCTTAGGTTCTCATGTACACTTTCAATTCATTCTGATATTTTCTAGTTTAAGGTATTTAGGTTAATCTGATTTATTTCTATAAATTAGATAGCAATTTGCTTATTGATTTATAAGTAGTACAATTACAAGTTGTTCTACTTGTAAATCAGCTGCTAATAGTATATTTTTAAGGATCACAATGTGGTGCTATTTTGGAATAAGTATCCTTAGTAACTATTATATTTTAGCATTTGTTGCATTGATTCTTATTTGTATTGAATTTTTAAAAATCAATTTGCAAGTCAATTTGAAGTGCTGATGTACATATTATGCTGGATGACAAATATATCAAAACAATATAGTTCTCAATTAAAAATAATTTTCTTTCAGATCCAGGAAAATTGTAGACACTGTGCTATGTACATTGTAGAATAGAGGTATTCAATCTTATGGCTTCCCTGGGCCACGTTATAAGAAGAATTGTCTTGGGCCACACATAAAATACAGTAAAACTAGCGATAGCTGATGAGCTTAAAAAAAAAAAAAGTCACCAAAAAAACTCATAATGTTTTAAGAAAGTTGACGAATTTGTGTTGGGCCACATTTAGAAAATTGTAGACAGTGTGCTGTGTACATTGTAGAACAGAGGTGTTCAGTCTTTTGGCTTCCTTGGGCCACGTTAGAAGAATTGTCTTGGGCCACATATAAAATACACTCATACTAGCGATAGCTGACTAGCTAAAAAAAATAAGTCAAAAAAATCTCATAGTGTTTTAAGAAGGTTTACAAATTTGTGTTGGGCCTCATTCAAAGCTGCCTGGGCTGCATGCAGCCTGGTGGGTCACAGGAGCTTGTTGTAGAAGATCAACAACTTGTTTGTTGGGTAGAACTATCATTTCAAGATAACGTAGCTCATGGTGCTGTAATATGTACATCTGGCTGTGACAAAAATTGCAGTGTGTTTGGTTGCATTCTGGTATGAATATACTTAAACTCCCGATAGGACTGTGCCTCCTGGGTGTGGGAACATGGGCCTTTGTTTCTTTGTCTCGGAAGCAACAGCAGGCTACCTTTCAGAGCCACGTCCCTCCACACTTGCCCTCTGCCTGCTCTACCTGTGGCTGTGATTCCGAGAAGTGATTGCTGAATAACCAGAAGCTTTTCTGCTGTGGGACCATGCCTGCTTGGCTTGGGACCATGTGGTTTGGATTCCCAGGGCAGCCACTGGGAAGCCTGCTGCTCTCTGCATTCTTATCTACGAAAGCCAGCAGGACCAGTGTCAGTTGGCACAGTTTCAATGCTGAAGTGCCCACTGAGTTACAAAAATGGATTGTTGGAGCTCCATCTTGTTATTGTCTGTTGAATGTGGCCTGGAGAACATTGATCAGATTTCATCCTTATATCATGTACACAGAAGTATTCCTGGTATGGTGTAGACCCCCTTATGATTGACAATCGGCACAACCTGGATCCCCATCTCCATCAGAAAGGATAACTCGCCATCTTGTATACATGACTTGGCCAGCCTCTTTATTCCTCAATACTACGTGCCATGAGTATAGCAAAATCTGGTGACCTACGAGGAACTGGCCATTTTTTTCTTGGACTCTCATTTTCCAATGCAGGGCCCTGTGTGGGGTAGACAGAGTGATTGGCTGAAGGGAAACCACAGTGCCTGCAGGTCCACACCAAAAAGAAAGCCCACACCCAGTGTGCAGGCTTGAAGGGCTGACCCCTCCTGGTATTAATCTCAGACCCTGTTTCCCCACATCACAGACTGCATGGAAGGATAGGAAAGGGAGATTTGGTCTCCTCTATTTCTTACCGCTTTTTCTACCTCCACAGATACATAAAAAGAACATCACATACCACAGATGTGTACTCTCACATACATCTGTTTGGTTGATGGTACCACGAAATCATCAATATTTACCTCACTTTAGAGCTTGATCCTAGGTGTCTCTCTGCCTTGGCTCATACACGGCCAGAAATCTCAGAGCTACAAACCAGTGTGTTCACTTGCTTGGGGGCAATGCATGCAGTACAAACAGTACTGGATTTGAAGTCAGCAATCCAGGATCAAAACCATGCTTCACCACTTCCTGGTTATGTGACTTAGGACAAGAAACCCTCTCTCTCAGCCTTGCTTCCCTTTCCTGTTGATATGGTTTGGATCTGTGTCCCTGCCCAAATCTCATGTTCAGTTGTAATCCCCAGTGTTGGAGGTGGAGACTGCTGGGAGGTGATTGGATCATGGAGGCAGATCTCATGAGTGGTTAGCACCATCCCTCGGTGCTGCCCTCATGATAGTGAGGGAATGAGTTCTCACGAGAACTGATTGTTTAAAAGTATGTGGCACCTCCCTTCGTTGCTTTTTCTCTTGCTCCTGCTCTGGCCAGGTGACTTTCTGGCTCCCCCTTCGCCTTCCACCATGATTGTAAGTTTCCTGAAACCTCCCCAGAAGTCAAGCAGATGCTGGCGTCATGCTTCCTGTACAGCCTGCATGAGCCACTTAAACCTCTTTATAAATTATCCAGTCTCAAATATTTCATTCTAGCAATGCGAGAATGGACTAATCCTTGTTTGGTGTGGACATGACCTACCCTGAGTTCTTCATAGAATATTGCAAAACCGATGCAACACGTAAAAAGTATACCCCTTTCATATAATAAAAATTATACATTTACTATAGAAATTCAAAAAACGAAACACTTCATAATCCTACCACCCAGTTGGTTATGTCCTTCCAGTCTTTTCTGTGCATAATGTGTGTGTATATGGATGTATGTGTATGCATGTATGTATACATATATATTTAATGTATTTAAATGTGCTATCTCCTTCATGCTGCTTTGTGATTTCTTTTTTAACTGATCACATTGTCCTATGTTTTATTTATTTATGTTTTGAGATGAAGTCTTGCTCTGTTGCCCAGGCTAGAGTGCAGTGGCGCTATCTCAGCTCACTGCAACCTCTGCCTCCCAGGTTCAAGCGATTCTTCTGCCTCAGCCTCTGAAGTAGCTGGGACTACAGGCATGGGCCACCAATGCTCAGCTAACTTTTGTATTTTTAGTAGAGACAAGGTTTCACTATGTTGGCCAGACTGGTCTCAAACTCCTGACCTCAGGTGATCCGCCTGCCTTGGCCTTCCAAATTGTTGGGATTACAAGTGTGAGCCACCATGCCCGGCCTGTTCCATGTTTTAAAATATTCTACAATTGTATTGGTAGTGACTTCTCTATATGTATGAATATAACATTGTTTAACCAGATCTCTGCTTTTTGTAATTAGAGAGATGACCATCATTCTTATACAAATTAAAACCTTTTTACAGCTCCTAAAAGTAGATATATATGATAAAAATGAATGTATCTTTAGAGTATTTGATGCATATTGACATACTGCCTTTTAGGAAAGTTTACCCATTTATATTCCCAATATATGAGAATGCTCTTCTTCCTATGCCTTTGCCAGCGCTGAAAGTTGTTATTCTTTTTAACCCATGCTCATTTGAAAGATACAAGATGACTTCATTGTTTAATTTGAATTTCTTTGAATACTAGTAAGATTAAACTTTTTATTCATTTATAATTGTATATACATAAGCTCATATATATTTATACATATATGTAAGTATGTCACATATTTATGTTTATGCACCATTTATATTTTATTTTCTTCTGTGTTTTGTCCGTATGTATTCTGTACTCAGTTTTAGATTTAAATATTTCTCTTAATGATTTATTAGAGCTTTTTATATATTATGGCTTTGAATCCTTTGACTTATATTGGGCAAATATATTCCCTGGATTGTCATTTGCCTTTTAATTTTTGTCAGAAAAATAGAAAACATTTTAATTTTTATGTATTCAAATTTACCAATATTTCTCTTTGTAATCTTACCTTAGAATCATGCTTAAAAAGATTTTCTCCTTTCCAAGATTATGCTACCCCAATAATTTCCTGGTTATGGTGTGCTTTTTTTTTTTATAGTTAACTCTTTAGTATTTTGCAATCTACTTGATGAATTGGACTTTTTCTCTCTAAATAGTTTAGTAGTTTTCCTGAAACCATTTTCTGAATACTCTAATATTTCCCTGCTGATTTGAAATGTCACCCAAACCATTAAGGGTCATTGGCAGCAAGTTACAATTACTAAGAAAGCCACAGGCCGTTTATTGTGAGGATAGTGGGGCCTATTGAATCACCAAGGAGGCTAGAGATCGGGCTTGGAAACTGGCTGGTTCTAAGGAAGCTTCTTCTGTTCACTTAGAAGTCTGACTCAGACTGGGGCCTACAGCGGGAACCCTGAACTTACCAGGCTACAGTTCTGCAGGAGTGGATAATTCCTGTGGTTCTTAACCTCTGGGTCTGTTTGCTTTAGAGTCAAAGACCTGGGAGGAAGTGTTTAATTGGACACAGCAGGATGATAATTTGCTTAACTGTCCTACCAGACTGAATTCAGTCACACATGGGCTACTTTTTTTTTTTTTTACAGACATAGGCTACTGACAGGGGATTCAAGATGTAATACCCGAAACAAAGTTAGCTGCTATTAAGCAGGGTTGGGGGAGGAGGGAAGCTGGACATGTATGCTGGGTGGTGAAGAAACAACCAACATCAACTCTTTTTTTAAAAATTATTATTATACTTTAAGTTCTAGGGTACATGTGCACAACGTGCAGATTTGTTACATATGTATACATGTGCCATGTTGGTGTGCTGCACCCATTAACTCGTCATTTACATCATGTATCTCTCCTAATGCTGTCCCTCCCCCCTCCCCGCTCTCCACTCCCCACAATAGGCCCCGGTGTGTGATGTTCCCCTTCCTGTGTCCAAGTGTTCTCATTGTTCAATTCCCACTTATGAGTAAGAACATGCAGTGTTTGGTTTTCTGTTCTTGTGATAGTTTGCTGAGAATGATGGTTTCCA